AGACACCATTCATATTGATTCATTTAGGAAATGAATTACTATCCGTTACAAAATAGAAAGAGTGTGATTACAAATTGAACAACTCAAGAACAGAAGCAATTATCAAAGTTGAGTTTCGAATACATAATGATATGTGAGAAAAAAAATGTTTCAAATTGATCTACTAGGGAATAACCAGCAAATATTTGTAAAATTGCCTTGCTAGGAGCAAAAAGACAGTGTACTTTCAATTTCAATGAGTTAATTTATAAAATTAAAAAAAAGGAAAAAACTTGTTGAATACTTTCTACAAGACATTATTTAATCGTCTGTGCGATGTTGAAAACTGAAGTTATAAGCAATTTACTCACAAGTTTAATTACTTTATCATCAGTTCGAATAATAACACGCTGACCTTAATCAATCGTTTGAATATTAAAAAAACAATAGTTTTCATTAGAATAAATGCCTTACATACGCAAAGTCATTTTAAATAATAATCATCTGGTAAAGTACGTAGTTTTGATTACCTCTTTTACGAAATAATTCCGTTTCTGTTTAATAACAGTGCTTTATGCTCAAATTGTGAACCTCGAATTGGAAGAAGCTTAGATAAAAATATATTACATTTTCAATAAAAATTACTTTCATCAATATCGAGCGTACAATATTTTGTTGGTTTTTTTTGGTATAATATATAAAGCATGCTCGATGTACAAAATTTTTATACATTCATCAAACATTCGTATGATGTCTGGCAAAGAATGTAAGAGAAAACTTAAATCGCTGAAATATTGTTTTTTCTTTCTGTACTTATTTGATGAAAAAAAAGGGTTGCACACATGTTGGCAAACTGCAGTAGTGCTGTAGACAGAGATAAAAAAACAGTGAAAAAGAATAATACTGAAATGCATTCGATGGGTGGCTTCTGTTTTTTTTTCGTTCTTTTGATAGACTTATCAACAAATGTGTTTGCTTTCATCTGTTTCTTTCTCTACACAATATTATTTTCAACAGTAACTAGGTAGAGTTTGTCCTTGAGTAACAACAAAAAAACCCACAGATATTCGAAATCGTCAAGAAATAGAGAAAAAACAAATCATTACCTATAGAAAGAAGAAAGGTGATCTTTCTTTCCATTTAAACAACATCAACATGAGCGGATCAAAATCAACATCCTCATGTAATATTCGTCAACCACGACAGCGTATGGCACAAAATTACCTTCTCGTGTGGGTAGATGCCAACATCGATTTAACAAATACGGACTGCCAAAACACTGTGACCCAACTGAAGAACGTAATCAACGACATCAATCTGTGTACTCAACCGGATCAATGCATCCAGTTGCTGAACCAGATTAATAATGAACGAGCCTTCGTTATTATGTCAGGCTCTTTAGGTCAACATCTGGTTCCAGAAATCCATGCCATGGCACAACTAGATACAATTTATATCTTCTGTACCAACAAATCAATACATCAAGAATGGACACAAAGCTGGACAAAAATTAAAGGTGTCCATACAAATATCGAAGAGATCTATCAAGCATTGCAATTGGATGTCAAACAATGCAATCAAGATTTGATAGCCGTAAGTTTTCTCACAGTAAATGAAATGGCTTCAACTAAGAATTTAAATCAGTTGGAGCCAACTTTTATGTATACTCAGATATTCAAAGAGATTCTCCTTGATATCGAATATGATCGCAAGACAATTCAGGCCTTAGCCATTTATTGTCGCAAATTTTACTTGGAAAATAACAGTGAATTACAAGTGATTAATGAATTTGAACTAGATTATCGTCCACAACAAGCCATATGGTGGTATACACGTGAGTGTTTTACTCATCAAATGCTCAATCGAGCACTTCGAACATTAGACGTCGATACAATCATTAACATGGGCTTCTTTCTACGTGATCTGCATCAACAAATTTTACAGCTATATGAACAACAGATCAATACTTATGGTAGAAAACCTTTTATAGTTTATCGAGGACAAGGTTTCACGAAATCAGACTTTGAGAAACTTCAGAAAACACAAGGTGGACTAATATCATTTAACAATTTCTTGTCCACCAGCAAATATAAAGATTTGTCCTTCGATTTTGCTCAAAAAGCTTCAAAAAAGCTAGATATGGTGGGTATTCTCTTTATAATGTCTATTGATCCTTGTATTAAATCAACACCATTTGCCTCCATCAAAGAGATGAGTTATTTTTACGGAGAGGAAGAAATTCTCTTCTCAATGCACACTGTCTTTCGAGTGGGTGTAATTAAAGAAATAGACAATAGAAATCAACTCTATCAAGTTGAATTGCAATTAACGTCAGATAATGATGAACAATTACGATTACTTACCAATCGGATACGAAAAGAAGCTAGTGGTAGTACTGGATGGCAAAGATTGGGTAAATTATTGCTTAACATCGGTCAATTTAGTAAGGCTGAAGAACTTTATAAGGTATTACTCGAACAAACATCTGATGAGGACGATAAGCAGCATTATTGTAATCAGCTAGGATTGGTCCATCAGAATCAAGGTGATTACAAAAAAGCTATTTGGTATTACGAACAAGGACTTGAAATTCAACAAGAAATTCGTCCTTCTAATCATCCTGATTTAGCTATCTCATACGGCAACATCGGTTTAGTATACATAAATATGGGAGAATACTCAAAAGCACTTCTATCGTACGAAAAAACACTTGAAATTCAACAAAAAATTCTTCCTTCAAATCATCTTTTATTAGCTACTTCATACAATAATATTGGTTTGGTGTATAACAAAATGGGAGAGTACTCGAGAGCATTTTCATATTATGAAAAAGCACTTGAAATTCGAGAAAAAACTCTTCCTCTCAATCATCCTGATCTGGCTACTACATACAACAACATTGGTGGTGTATATGACGATATGCGAGAGTACACGAAAGCAATTTTATATTATGAAAAAGCACTTGATATCTTTCACAAAACTCTTCCTTCAAATCATCCTGATTTAGCTACTTTATATAACAACATCGGTTTGGTGTATAAGAACATGGGAGAATACTCGAACGCACTCTCGTATTACGAAAAAGCACTTGAAATTCGAGAAAAAATTCTTTCTTCAAATCATCCTTCATTGGCAACTTCATACAACAACATTGGATCGATTTATAGAAACATGAAAGACTATTCGAAAGCACTTTCATATTATGAACGTGCATTGGACATGTGGCAACGTTCATTACCTCCAACTCATCCTCATATAAATACTGTGATAAAGAATATTGAAATTGTAAAAAAGGAAATTATAAAGAATATTTAGTTGACAAATATTTTCTCTACTTATTTTTGAATCAGTTCTATATTTTAGCGACTTGCGCGTACGTACAGGGAAAGAGTTTTCAAATTATTTGAACTTAATGATAATTCTTTACGAGAGTATTCCCTGTAATAGACAAAGAAGAAAGAAATGTATTACCTTAAATAGTAATCGTGAAATTAAATTGAATTGCATAACATATGTTTTACTTGAATCAATCTATCAGTATTCATCGTCAATGAGAAACGAATGAAAAAAATAATTATTTACAATTTTTTGATGTCGGATTCAGATTAAGAAAGATACTGTCTGATCAAATGTCTTACAATAATTTCTCATTGTTTTATCACCATACTTAGATGTTTGATAGAGAATACTAGAAGTTATAGAATTTTATGAAGCATGAGTAACGGATCATGGTATTCAATCTATGAGAAAAAATAACTGACATAGCTTTTATGAAATTTATTTGCTTTTAAATAGATAGCAACTAATTTTAACAATAAATTAATATTGTAAATATATATCAAGCTTTCGGCTTTTAATCTTTATCTTTCAATTGAAGTTTGTATCACACAAAAGGCAAAGGAGATTGACTTTTCACAAATAAATATTTTTCGTGCGTCACAATATAAAAACTCCACTAAAAAGAGAAAAAGAAAGTTCAACTGTATACTTATTCCCATTTAAAAAACAAACTTTTTTATTGAGGGTATGGTGTGACGTGTGAGATGGGAATAATACCCACACCTACCCACATCGTCACAATTACACAAACTACAATAGGCAGACCTGTTTAGGGCTCTGCTTCGCAATCTTGTTGTTGGAGTGCAATTGCTTTCTTTATTCATTCGACAACGAAGTGAGATAAAAACCAAAGGTTTTTGACAATGCTGATATCATTAATATATCCTATCGGCATATCCTGAATTTTCCTGACAACGGCGAATACTTCTATTAGTTAATATTATAATTTTAATATTGAATAAATGATTTATTTATCGAACAATGAGTTTAATATTAATTATTATTTAATCTTCTAACTGTTAATATCCGTAGAAGATTGAGCAGACGTTATTGATCGTTCACAGAAAAGAACACGATCGTTTGAATTTTTTCTTGTGTAATTTCATTTTCCGATTCAAAAACAGGAGAAAATGCAGTGAGCCTGTTGACGTGCATTATTTGCATAGTAAATGTGTGCTTTTTTCTGTTAGTGAGAATATTATCTCTTATCTTTGAAGAAAATTGAAAAAAATTAATTCTTTTTTTCTTTCTACGCACCTTGCTTTATGATATAAGCTGAGTGATACACAGGACACGGTTTTATTATAGATAATAGGAATAAACACAGAAAAATAGCTAATGATGTCATAAAAACATTGTAATAAAGAGATCTGATTCTCATATAAATAATATAGCTTATTCTTCTCTTTCACTTTTATCAATTCAATCGAAAAACCCACATAATACACGAAATGGACACAATATCTAATAATATCGAACGACGAAGACGCATTGTACAAGACCATTTACTGATTTGGTTAGATGAGTGTATGGGTGAAATGAACCAAGAATATCAAAGTATTTTGACACAACTAAAAACCAATATTGGCAATGTCATTATCTTTAAGAAGCCTGACGAATGTATCGACTTTCTTACAGATGCTCAAGAAAACATCAAGTCTTTTCTCGTTCTTGAAAATACTATGGCTCAACATATGGTGCCGCTCATGAATGATATCCCTCAGTTGTATGGTGTTTATATCTTCAGTAATACTCAATCCCAACCTGAAGAATGGACACGAAAATCGCAAAAAATCAAGAGCGTTCATACCAACATCAATGACGTATGCAAAGCATTACAACTGGATCTCAAGCGATACAATCGAGATTCGATTGCTATGAGTTTTGTCACCGTCAATGAAATGTCTTCAACTGATAGTTTAAATGAGTTGGAGCCAACATTTATGTATACTCAGCTATTCAAAGAAATTCTTCTTAATATGAAACATACCAGCCAGACCATCAAGGACTTTATTACCTACTGTCGACAGAATAATTCTGGGTCGCCAATCAGTATCGATCGATTTGAGAAAGAATACCAAGCTCAATCAGCTATTTCGTGGTATACTCAGCCATCATTTATCTATTCTATGCTCAACGATGGGCTTCGCTTTATGGAAGGTGAAATCATTATTAATATGGGTTTTCTAATTCATGATCTTCATCTACAAATTCATGAACTACATCAAGAACAGATAAATATTAACCATGGCGAACCATGTATAGTCTACCGGGGACAAGGTCTATCTAAACAAAAATTTGAAAAACTCCGAAACACAAAAGGTGGTTTAATATCTTTCAACAACTTTTTATCCACTAGCATGAAACAAGACGTAGCTCTCGGATATGCCTTTAGTGCGACAGATAATGCGGACACCGTAGGTGTTCTTTTCGAAATGTCTGTTGATCCACGTATAAAATCAGCACCATTTGCATCCATCAAGGAGGTAAGTTATTTTGGGGAAGAAGAAGAAATTCTCTTTTCAATGCATACCGTCTTTCGAGTGGGCACAATCCAACAAATGGAGAATAATAATCAACTTTATCGAGTAGAATTGCAATTAACGTCGGATGATGATGAGCAACTAAGATTACTTACTGATCGAATACGAGAAGAAGCTAGTGGTAGTACTGGATGGCAAAGATTGGGTAAACTATTGCTCAAAATTGGTCAATTAAATAAAGCTGAAGAGCTTTATAAGGTATTACTCGAACAGACATCTGATAAGAATGAAAAAGCACATTATTATGGCAGTCTGGGATCTGTCCATATTCACCAAGGTGAATATAAAAAAGCTATTTGTTATTACGAACAAGAACTTGAAATCATGCAAAATACTCTTCCTTCCAATCACCCTTATTTTGGTACTTTATACAACAACATTGGTTCAGTCCATTACAACATGGGAGAGTTCTCGAAAGCACTTTCATCTCATGAAAAAGCCCTTCAAATTAAAGAAAAAACTCTTCCTTCAAATAATCCGGATTTCGCTACTACATATAGCAACATTGGTTTGGTGTATGACAACATGGGAGAGTACTCAAAGGCACTTTCATCTCACGAAAAAGCACTTGAAATCTATCAAAAAACTCTTCCTTCAAATCATCCTGCATTGGCTACTGCATACAACAACCTAGGTGTTGCGTATAACAATATGGGCGAGTATCCGGAAACACTTTCATTTTATCAAAAAGCCCTTCGGATCTATGAAAGAACTCTTCCTTCAAATCATCCTTCATTGGCTGCTTCATACAACAACATTGGTAGCGTGCATAACAACATGGGAGAGTACTCGAAAGCACATGCATTTTACGAAAAAGCACTCGAAATTAAGGGAAAAACTCTTCCCTCAAGTCATCCTGATCTCGCTATTTCATACAATAACATCGCTAGTGTGTATGACAAGATGAGAGAGTATGCAAAAGCACTTTCATTTTACAAAAAAGCATTTGAAATCAATCAGGAAAGTCTTCCTTCAAATCATCCTTCATTGGCTATTTCATACAACAACATTGGTAGTGTATATGAACAAATGGAAGAGTACTCAAAGGCACTTTCATCACATGAAAAAGCACTTGAAATCTATCAAACAAGTCTACCTTCAAATCATCCTGATTTGGCTACTTCATACAACAACATTGGTAGCGTGCATAACAAGATGGGAGAGTACTCGAAAGCACTTTCATTTTACCAGAAAGCTCTTGAAATTTATCAAAAAACTCTTCCTTTGAATCATCCTTTATTCGCCACAGCATACAGCAACATTGGTAGCGTGCATAACAAAATGGGAGAGTACCCAAAAGCACTTTCATCACACGAAAAAGCACTTGAAATGCGACAAAATAATAATCATCCTAATTTGGCTATTACATTCACCAGCATCGGTTTGGTGTATTACAACATGGGAGAGTACTCGAAAGCACTTTCATCTCACGAAAAAGCACTCGAAATTGAAGAAAAACGTCTTCCTTCAAATCATCCCGATTTGGCTACTACATACAACAACATCGGTAGTGTGTGTGACAAGATGGGAGAGTATTCGACAGCGCTTTCATATTACGAAAAAGCGCTTGACATCGATCAAAAAACTATTCCTTCTAATCATCCTCATTTGGCTACTTCATACAACAATATCGGTAGTGTGTATAGCAGCATCGGAGAGTACTCGAAAGCACTTTCATATCACGAAAAAGCACTTGAAATTGACCAATACACTCTTTCTTCAGATCATCTTAAATTGGCTACTTCACACAGCAACATCGGTTTGGTGTATGGCAACATGGGAGAGTACTCAAAGGCACTTTCATCTCACGAAAAAGCAC